CCCCCCGGTCGCCGCGAGGTCCCGAGGTGATCCGCGTTGGACGTACCTTCGCTGGGCCTCCGAGGAGCCGACGAAAGTGGCGACAGTTGCGCAGATCGCAGCCCCCCAGGGCACCGCGAGGTCCCGAGGTGATTCGCGCTGGATCGCAGCCCCCAGGGCACCGCGAGGTCCCGAGGTGATCCGCGTTGGACGCACCTCCGCTGGGCCTCCCAGGAGCCCACGAAAGTGGCGATAGTTGCGCAGATCGCAGCCCCCCAGGGCGCCGCGAGGTTCCGAGGTGATCCGCGTTGGACGCACCTCTGCGGGGCCTCAGGAGCCCACGAAAGTGGCGACAGTTGCGCAGATCGCAGCCCCCCACGGCGCCGCGAGGTGCCGTGGTGATCCGCGTTGGACGTACCTCCGCTGGCCTCCCAGGAGCCCACGAAAGTGGCGACAGTTGCGCAGGTCGCAGCCACCCAGGGCACCGCGAGGTCCCGAGGTGATCCGCGTTGGACGCACCTCCGCTGGGATTCCCAGGAGCCCGCAAAAGTGGCGACAGTTGCGCAGATCGCAGCCCCCAGGGCACCGCGAGGTCCCGAGTGATCCGCGCTGGACGCACCCTGCTCTTCGAAGAAACCCTCCAGATCACGGTTCCGGTTCTCGTTCCAGTTCTAGTTTTGGTTTCCTTCTTCTGGCCTCGAAAAAGACTGGTTCCCCTGGTTCCGGTCCCGATTATGGTTTTCTTCTTCTCCTGGCCTCGAAGCAGACCAGTTTCGGTCTGGTTGTCTTCTTCTATATTCGAAGAGCACCTTCCTCATCGCAGTTCCGGTTCTGGTTCCCGATACCTTCTTCTCGTGTCTCGAGAAAAATCGTTCCGGTTCTGGTTTCGGTCCGTTTTCCACTTCGTCTGTTTTCGGAGAAAGCTCAGTTCGCAGTTACAGTTCTGGTTCCAGTTCTACAATGACGACGACGATGACGACGACGACTATATGCGAATGGCTTGATTAACGATGACGATGATCACGATGACGATAACACTGGCGTTGGCGACGACGATGTTGAGAGGAAGGTAACGATGACGATAACGAAGGTCACGCCGTGGCCATTGAGCGACACTGCACTTGTTGCGGGTGGTTCTTTTTGGGGCCATGGTCGCACGCGCGCCACGACACAAAGCGGGCGACTATCCAGCTCAACGGCTTCGTTTCCATCTGGCGACGCCTTCTGCGCGCCAGCTGCCCAGAAGAAGAACAAAGCGAGAACCAGAACCCGGACCCAGGACCAGAACCGTGATCAGAGGTCGTTCTTCGAGGCCAAGAAGGAAACTCTAGCCCGAAACGGCATCAGAACCAAAACCGTGATCATAAGGTTTCTTCGAGGCCAGGAGAAGAAGACGAACGGAACCGGTACCGAACTGTAACGCGGGGTGTTTTCTTTAAGCGAAAAGTAAGAGAAAACCGGATCTGAAACTGAAACTGGAACCGGAACCAGATTCAGAAGCCCGCAGGATGCTTTTGAGACCCCAAAAAAATTCAATCGGAACCAGAACCAGTTCAAAAAAATAAAAACTAAACTCTCCCAGGCCTCGATGAAGAAGAAAACCAGAACCAGAACCTGTTAACGCCCCAGGAAAACAAGGAAACAGAAACTCGAACCCGAACTTGACGCCGAACCAGAACCCGAATCTGAACTGGAACCGGAATCCAAACCGGAACGACACCAGAACCGAAGAGGAGCCAGAGCCAAACCAAAACAGGCCGGCGGTGAACCGTCAACCTGGTCTGCGTAGTCTGCGCTGGCCGATTCGAGCTCCCTGGAGAGCAGGCCAGGACACAGAGAACCGAAACAGCGAAGCTGTACAGGAAAACAACGAAGCTGCAAAGATTAAAGCAGAGGTGCATCAAACAGCGAAGCTGCACAGATATGCACAAGACTGCCAGTACACGAGAAAACAACCAACAATATAGTGGGGGAAGCAATGCAGACCATGGATATGGAAGCAAAGCTAGAAGCAGCGAAAGACCATACAGTAACCACTGGTTTATACAGCGATTACCGTCTCAACACCACTGAGAAATGGTGATACACAAATCCTTCGAGTCGTTGTAGGCAGAATGAATTATGACGGAATTCGGCGCTGGCCACATTTCCGGCGCGAAGTATCTATTGTAAAACACACTATAAACGTGCGAAAATGCCATGTGCAACTTTCGTGCCAAAATAAACATAAATCTGCACACGTCCTTTGGGCAGAAAACAAAGTCTTCTACGGGGTGCGATGCGCATAACGCGATGCACGCCCGCGGCACTCCGTCATAAATGTAAGAGAAGAAACGTACCAAATCCTCTTATGAGACCTGTCAGCGGAGAGCGGAAGAAAAGCCAGGGGGAGAGCGGGAGAAGCCCAAAGAGCCAAAGCGAGCCCAGGGGCAGAAACAGCGGGGGAGAGAGAGGGGGGGCAGACCAAAACAAGCGTGCATGATCAATCACATGTGCATCATCTGCGCCGTCTCCGATGCTTCTTGTCGCTCCGCGTCAACGCACTCCTGGAAGTAGAACTCTGAGGACCCCCCTGTTGCGAATCATTATCCTCGGAACTTTCAATTCCCATTTGAAGTTTGCATGCACTAACAGCCTCAAGCCGACGCTGAAACTCCTGTCTCGGGAGCCGTTGCAGCTCACGCCAGAGTGCACTTACATCGACACCGGCAAGGGCCCAGTCCCTGGCAGCTTGACACTCAGAGCGTGTCTCACTCGGTCGATCTGCAGAACTCCCATTCATGAAGCTCCCTACTGCATCAGCTGAACTCCAAACCGCGGCACTCCCAACTGCAGAACTCCCAGCTGTTGAACTCCCAACTGCATCAACAACTGCATCAGCGGAACTCCGAACTGCGGAACTTCCTACTGCACTCCGAACTGTTGAACTCCCGACTGCACTGGAGCTCCCAACTGCATCAGCTGAACTCCAAACTGCGGTACTCTCCACCGCACTCCCGTTGGTCGCATGCAATTCTGAAGTGCGCAACTTTGAACTCTCGATAGCCTCCACTCGTTTGAAACAATATCTCTTCATTCTGAGAGAAGCATCACCCCGATCAACGTGCACTCGATGACACTCCTCCTTCTCCTCCTCAGAGAACACAAAGATGAGTCTGACTCCCACACGCAATGTGAACACAGGGATCTGTCTGAGCCCCACAATCGGAACAATGCGAACACAAAACGTTGCCAGCCAATTCAACAGCATCCATATCAGTCTGTGTTCCACAAGTTGCTTTTCTACACAGCGTAGCTGTCTGCTAATAGTCAGCAGAGGCACGATCGGCTGTAGACGAGGAAACAGGATCGATCAATATCGAAGCTACGTTTGACTGGCAAGTCCATCTTCGCGCACTGGTTTTGGCAACAGGTGAATCACGCGGCACGAGATAATCTAAAACCACTTCGGCAGTCGCCCTTTCCAGCCCTGGGGGTGGGAGACACGTAGGTGGCACCAAACCTTCCAGAGGCAAGCGAATAGGTCGTTGCACACAGTAACCGTTCGTAATGGACAGCGCCCGACGCATAATGCGAGCACCTGCGCTCCGCACATGCGGCATAGCGAAAAGGGACCAGAAACAGCTGCAGGTGGCAGAACCGCACGAAAGCAAATGTATTGAAGACCACTCGAGGCGATCAAACGTGTGAGAGGAATGGCAATACAATATCAGTCTATGCAAAATTGTTATCTCCACGCGAGGCGAAGGTACAATACAAATTGCCACCACCAAACCGCAACAAGAAATGACTATGAGAGGCCAACAACGACAAGCCAGATGCACAGGGAGATGGGCAGTTGCGTAGGCAGAACAAAACACCCGCAGCTGCACGATGCAGCTTGAGGAGGCCCCGACGGGCCAGGTCGCCGCTGAGATCCCCGAGGAGGGACAGCAGCAACCGGGTCTTTTTTGCGTCTTTTGCGAAGGCCGGTTCGAGCTCCCATGGGAGCAGGCCTAAACACAAAGAACCTAAACAGCGAAGCTGTACAGGAAGACAGCGAAGCTGCAAAGATTGAAGCAGAGGTGCATCAAACAGCGAAGCTGTACAGATATGCACAAGACTGCCAATACACGAGACTACAACTAAAATGTAAAGAAGGAGTAAAAGCAATGCGAGACCATGCAGTAACCACATATAGCGGTTACCGTCTCAGCACCACTAAGAATAGAAGCAGTGAGAGACCATACAGTAACCACTGGTTTGTACAGCGATTACCGTCTCAACACCACTGAGACAAACACAAAAATAAAAACTAAAATGACGAGTACACTTCAAAGTAATGCGAGACCATGCAGTAACCACATATAGCGATTACCGTCTCAGCACCACTGAAAGACCATGCACGTGAAACACAACGAATTTGCGGTCGACTGTGCACAGAGTCAGGCAAGACACCCACCACTCTTTGAGCGGGAGTGGGCAAATGCAAAACTCTTATTCCGAACAAAGTGAAGATCACGCGGAGCTCTTATACCAACATGCGCGCATGTCCGACACGCACACGCAGCATGGCAAGAGTCAACGCAAACACAAAGTCCGAAATATGTCGTAACAGCCCGCGGTAAGACAAGAGTCGTATGCTCACGTCAAATGTGTGATAACTGAATGTCTGATAACGCACTCAAGAAGTAACTCTCGGATAACTGAATGTCTGATAACGCACTCAGTATCTTGAATCACCTGCATAACTGAGTGTCTGATAACGCACTCAAGTATCTTGAATTCTGACCGATACGATTCAAAGAAAGAAAGAATGAAAACAGGCACGCCGATACAATGCAGAGAACCTCAATCTCAAGATACTCCAATGTCACAGAACTGTCAAAGTACCTCAATGTCAAAGAATACACACGTGTGCAAGAGCAATAATGGAGAAAGCGCAAGCAGGCAGTACAAACAAGTACAAAGCGACGACAGCGGCCTATGCGTTGAAGTCAGTCCCACTTCTGATGCCAAACAGAGCTGGCCTCCAGAACCTATCATCTGTAGGCCCAAGGAGAGAAGGTCGTCGCAGCCGACGAAGTACCCGAATTTATTGCACGGCCCGCCCGCGCGCACACGGCCGCCCAGGGGGCAGCCTGAGGAGACAGACTTGAGGAAGCCCCCGACGGGCCAGGCCACCGCTGAGATCCCCGAGGAGGGACAGCAGCAACCTGGTCACCGCCGGGAACCTCGGGAACCGTCAACCGGGTCACCGCCGGGAACCTCGTAGAGCTCCTTGCGCGCGTAAGAGTGCTCAGACTCGAAGCAGAGACCTTCGCAGAAGATTTTCGTGAAATCTTCAATTTTGCATTTTTCATATCGACATGAAGTTGGTCCCCCCAAGTGTTTTGATATTAAAAGTGCGCCTACAAAGCTCGTATTAAGACGCAGAGGCCCTCATAGTCTTTCACAGGTGCTAAAAATCTGGTTTCTCAAAATGAATGGTCGGATATCTTTGAAATCTTAGCAAAACCGAGCCAAAGTTATGGCATGGCGCCGGCGGTAAGGCGTCAACCTGGTCACCCCCGGGAACCTCGTAGAAGCTCCTTGCACGCGTAAGAGTGCTCAGAATCGAAGCAGACAGCTTCTCGGAGCATTTCTAGAAAAACGACAAATTTGCATTTTTCGGTGTCAACCTGATGTCTCCTCAAAATATGTCGATAGTAAATAAAACTCGCTCTAGAGAGCTGATTCTCTCTCAAACTAACGTTTGAACACTAATGCTGGGCGTCAAAAAAAAAATGTCTTAAAATGAATGGTCAAATCCCTTAGCAACTAGTAGCGCTGATAGCAGACCGGGTCCAGGTGTCTACTAGCGCGCCTGACGATTGCCTTCCGATTGCTAAGCCGAACAGCTCTGTAGCTCATCTGCAGCTCGAGTTGAATCAAGAAAATCATCACCATCTCCAGAAAAAAATCGAGAGTACGAATAATTTTTCGGCTCCAGTGCCGATAACAGACCGAGTTCAGACGTCTAGATACTTTAGACTAGCGCGCCTGATCATTGCCTTCCGATTGCCGTGCCGAAGAGCCCTTCAGCTCATCTCAGGCTCGAGTTAAATCGAGAAACGCATTATCATTTGAAAAATAGTAGAGCACGAATAGGTTCGCGGACCTAGCTCGAGTAGCAGACCGAGTTCAGACCTCTAGATGCTTCAAACGAACGCGTCTGATCATTCTGAATCGATGAGGTGTGCGTACCAGCTCTGTAGCTATCCTGCAGCTCGAGTTAATGACAAAAAACCGACAGCATCTGTCAAGATGACTCGGAACAGCCGATCCCGCCTGGATGCTTTTTGGCAGATGTAGGTACCCGATCGAGCTGAGATCCAGACGGCGGGCGAAATGAGATCGAATATCACGGTAAAAAATATTAGAGCTCTAACGAATTGCTGAATTTCGAGAAAATAAATTTCAACCGAGCAAAAGTCAGAAAAAGGTCTGTCGCGATTTTGAGCCAACTAGCCCCCCAGCGCGCCGGAATTACTCTTCTAGCTTCGCCGCTAACGCTCTTAGGTAAGCTCTACGAGTCACCTAGCTCGAGTGGCAGACCGAGTTCAAACCTCTAGATGCTCCAGACGAACGCGTCTGATCATTCTGAATCGATTAGGTATGCGCACCAGCTCTGCGGCCATCCTACAGCTCCAGTTAAGTACAGAAAACCGACAGCATCTGTCAAGATGATTCGAAACAGCCGATCCCACCGGATTGCTTTTTGGCAGTAATAAGTACCCGATCGAGCTAAGATTAAAACGGCGAGTGGAAGATCGAATATCACGGTAAAAAAATATTAGAGCTCCAACGAATTGTTGCACTCCGAGAACATAATTGAGCAAAAGTTAACAAAGGTCTGTCGAGATTTTTCGAGCCAACTAGCCCCCCAACGCGCCGAAACTGGCGCCGGCGGTGAACCGTCAACGTGGTCACCGCCGGGAACCTCGTAGAGCTCCTTACAGGCGTAAGAGTGCTCAGAATCGAAGCAGACAGCTTCTCGGAGCACTTCTAGAAAAACGGCACATGCGCATTTGTTTGTCTTACCTTGAGACCGATTCGAGTCCAGGTGTCTAGTAGCGCGTCTGATGATTTCCGTCCGATTGATGTGCCGAACAGCTCTGTAGCTCGTCTGCAGCTCGAGTTATGTCAAGAAAATCATCACCATATCGGGGCGAGGGGGGAGGAGAAAAAAAAAAAAAAAAAAAAAAAAAAAAAAAAAAAAAAAAAAAAAAAAAAAAAAAAAAAAAAAAAAAAAAAAAAAAAAAAAAAAAAAAACGATTCCCTTCCGATTGCTGAGCCGAACAGCTCTGTAGCTCATCTTCAGCTCGATTTAAGTCAAGAAAACCATCATCATCTCCAAAAAATTGGGAAAGTACGAATATGGTTTCCGGCTCCAGTGCGGATAGCAGACCGAGTTCGGGCGTCTAGATATTCAGCATAGCGCGCATTAGTATTGCCTCCCGATTGCTGTGCAGAAGAGCCCTTTAGCTCATCTGAGGCTCGAATTAAATCCAGAAACAGCATTATCTCCCAAACTAATAATAGAGTGCGAATACTTCTGCGGACCTAGCTCGAGTAGCAGACCGAGTTCAGACCTTTAGATGCTTCAGACGAACGCGCCTGATGATTCTGAACCGATTACGTGTAGTCTAAAGTATCTAGACGCCTGAATTCGGTCTGCTATCAGCGCAGAAGCCGAAACACTATTCGTACTCTGCTATTTCTTTGGAGATGGAATTGTTTTCTCAACTTAACTCGAGCTGCAGATGAGCGAGCCCTTCGGCACAGCAATCGGGATGAAATCATCAGACGCGCTAGTTAGGATATCTAGACGCCTGAAATCGGTCTGCTATCAGCGCCCGGGCTGAACAACTATTCGTATTCTGCTAATTTCTTGGAGATAGTGATGGCTTCTTGACTTAACTCGCGCTGCAGATGAGCTACAGAGCTGTTCAGCACAGGAATTGGAAAATCATCATCAGGGGCGCTAGATAAAAGTATGTGGACGCCTGATCCCGGTCTGCTGTCAGCGCTGGGGCCGAAAAACTATTCGTTCTCGGTTACTTCTTTGGAGATGGTATTGGTTGTCATGATTTAACTCGAGCTGCAAATGAGCTACAGAGCTTTTCGGCACAGCAATCGAACGGGAATAACCAGGCGCTTTTTTTTTTAAAGTATCCAGACGCCTGAACTCGGTCTGCTAGCGCTGGATCCGAACTGGGAGCCGGCGGTAAACCGTCAACCTTGGTTACCGCCGGGAACTCGTAGAGCTTCCTCGTGCAATGCGGGCGCGGCAATCTCGCATTGCGCGCGCGAGGGCGCGGTCTCATGGAGGAGGACGTGGAGGAGAAGGAGGGGCGAGGGAAAAGCACCTCTGGAAAGAAATAATAGACATGCCAGACAGAGTTCAGGCGTCTGGACACTTCATCACCATCTCTAAAAAATTCACAGAGTACGGATAGTTGTTCGGCCCCAGCGCTGATAGTAGACTGATTTCAGGCCTCCAGATACTTTGAACTGGCGAGCCTGGTTATTTTCTTCCCATTGCTGCGCCGAACAGATCTGTAGCTCATCTGCAGCTCGAGTTCAGTCAAGAAAAGCATCACCATCTCGAATAAAATAGCAGTTTACGAATAGTTTGTCAGCCCAAGTGCTGATAGCAGACCGAGATCAGGCGTCTAGATGCTGCAGACTATCGCGCCTGACGATTTCCTTCCCCTTGCTGTGCCGAACAGCTCTGTAGCCAATCTGCAACTCGAGCTAAGTCAAGAGAAGCATCGCCATCTCGAAAAAGTTAGCAGAGTACGAATAGCGTTTCAGTCCCAGCGCTGATAGCAGACCGAGATCAGGCGTCTAGATACTTTCAACTAGCGCGCCGGATGATTCCCTTCCGATTTCTGTGCCGATCAGCTCTGTAGCGTATCTGCAGCTCGAGTTAAGTCAAGAAAACCATCATCATCTTCCAAAAAAATAGCAGCGTACGAATAGTTCCCGGAAAGGGCAAAGGCCCAGGGTTCTCTTTTAGTATGTAAACAATGTCCCCGTGCCCAACTTGAAGGAGGCCGGCGAATTCTTTCCCTGATAAATATCGAGGTCGAAGGAGGCCGGCGGATTAAAATTTGAGGATGTCTCAGGCGAAACGCTTGTTTTTGAAATCCCGATCGATAAATCACAGGGTGCGGGACACCTCAGCACGACCACACCCCCAGCATGACCACACCCCAGCACGACCACGCCCAGCACGACCACGCCCAGCACGACCACACCCCAGCACGACCACACCCCAGCACGACCACACCCCAGCACGCACCACACCCCAGCACGACCCGATCGATAAATCACAGGGCGCGGACCACCCCAGCACGACCACACCCCAGCACGACCCCACCCCAGCACGACCCCACCCCAGCACGACCACGCCCCAGCACGACCACACCCCAGCACGACCACACCCCAGCACGACCACACCCCAGCACGACCACACCCCAGCACGACCACACCCGACCACACCACCCCACCCCACACCCCGCCCCAGCACGACCACCCCAGCACGACCACACCCCAGCACGCACCTCACCACGACCATACCCCAGCACAACACACGACCTCACCACAGCACGCACGACCACGCCCCAGCGCGACCACACCCCAGCACGACCACGCCCCAGCACGACCACCCCCCCAGCACGACCACCCCCCAGCACGACCACCCCCCAGCACGACCAAACCCCAGCACGACCACTCCCCAGCACGACCACACCCCCTTGGTTGAGTGGTTGCCTGTCGTCGTGGAATGTTTCGTGGGGTGTCTCGTGGAATGTTACGGGGTTTCTCGTGGAATGTTTCGCGAGGTGTCTCGTGGAATGTTTCGCGAGGTGTCTCGTGGGATGTTTCGGGAGGTGTCTCGTGGGATGTTTCGTGAGGTGTTGCCCAGTTGGGTATCGTGAAAACGTGTCCATGCTCCACATGTCTATATCCCTTTCCGGGTTCGTGGGTCCATCATGTTTTTCAGCCCCAGCGCTGATAGCAGACCGAGATCAGGCGTCTAGATACTGCAGACTAACGCGCATGATGGTTCCCTTCCGATTGATGTGCCAGAAAGCTCTGTAGCTCATCCGCAGCTCGAGTAAAGTCAAGAAACTCATCACCATCTCCAAAAAAATGAATAGAGTACGAATAGCTTCGCGGATCTAGC